AGACCACTAACATCGGTTCAGATGGACCCAAACGAGATTAGTGCTCTCTGTCCAGCAGATTTGGTTTATGGTCATCGCGTAAAAGTGAGTCTGCCGGAGATGCGTATCAGACCCAAGAATAGGGACGCGGCCGATTCGATCGTCTTTTCTCGTCGTTGGAAATACCAGCAAGCGGTGTTAAAGAATTTTCAGAAGCGTTTCAAAGAGGAATACTTGCAATATCTGCGTTCTGCGCATGTTCGTGATCCAGTCACACCGCGTTCGATAAAGGTCGGAGATATCTGTCTACTCAAAGACTCAGTCCCGTCGAGAGCTCATTGGCCCCTATGTCGAGTTCTGAGCCTTTCGGGGGGAGAGCGGACGGATCTTCGGCAGCGGTCGTGCTTGATCAAGTTGGAAACGGGTCAGACATTCAGTCGACCGATTCAGCTGCTCTACCCGCTGGAAGTTTAGCGGCGAAGCGAGTTTGGACTCGGGCGGGGCGGACTGAAATATCAAAATGGGAACAAAAGACACGGCGGTTAAAGAACATAAGAAAAATGAAAAAATTTGTTAGTGCGGCTCAAGGGAGCCGCATTAGGGCCTCATAGGCCTCGCGTCGGCGAGCCTGGAACTCGGTCTCGGGCCGGTAGCGGGCCCGCTCCAGGCGCAGGGACTCGTGCAGGGCGTGGGTCCGGGCGCGCTCCCTCTCGAGCTCCTCCTCGAGCCGGAGGTTCTCCTGGCGTTGTCGCTGGAGGGCGACGGGCGGGCGCGGTCCGCGGACGGCGGGTGGTGGCGGCGCGGCGGGGCGCGGGGGCACGGCGGCCCCGGACTGGATCCGGGCGGCCGGGGTTCTTCGTCGTTGCGAGGCGGCACACAGGAGGCGGCGCGTCAGGGCGGCGCCGCGGACTGGATCCGGCTCGGCGGCGGGCTCGTCAGCCCGGCGTTGATCTAGCGCCCTGAGCACACGGTCGAGGAGTTCGGGGCCGGTGGGTGGAGGGACTGGATCCCGAGTGCCGCGACTTCGAGAGGCCCGTCGGCGCTCGATGTAGGGCCCTCTTTCGGCGTAGGTCATCTCATCCCACACGACGCGGGCCGCGGCACGTATCACTCCGAACGGCACGCCGCGCAGGCAGGCTTGGAGGTGCACCGAGCGCACAAACAGGCCCAGTGGGCTTCGGTCAAAATCACAGTCCGGCATGTTGGTTGCTTCCAGAGCACGGACACGAATGATGGAAAAAGGGATTCGGGATCGCGAAATTGGCGACGGGAGAGGATGAATGGACCAATGGGGGTTTTAGACGCTGCACATCGCACATCTCAATTACTCGAGGATCTGTGCATCGGATGTCCATTTCGACGTCGAGTCATTGTCGCGCAGATCCAATCTCTAGCATCTCAAATTCCTTCCGCCTTCTGTTCCGAAACATCCAGTGTTCCCCGCAAGACTTATTCATATCGAGCGTCCCGGGCAGACATTCCAATGTGTGCCACATTGTTAGTCACGAGGCCGCGACGCTGTGTATTAATTGATTACAAATATATCGTTGAGAGTCGGCCGGAATTTGGCCGGGAGTGTGGCGAATGGCCATAGGTATTTCTTGGAAATTATCAATAAAGAGAAAGCCCGTTGGAGAAACGCCTTGCTCGAGTGCGAATGTCGTGCCCAGGCACGTCTGGACTCCGAGGGTCGACGGTAGCGAACGCCTGCGCACTTCACTTGCTATCGAGCTCTCGCGTAGGCGAGACGGTTCGAAGAGCACCAGTAGCAAACCGGCAATCTCCTCGGGTATCCAGTGCCCAGAACGTCAGACCCAGTCATTTCTAGGGATACCGAGGGATAGTCCGCGACAGTACGCTACGGATCCCGACGATGAAGTTCAATATGCCAGGATGTTCGACGCGGAATTGGCGTTGGAGACTTCTATGAGCTGCCTCCGCGTAATTGTTGGTGCGACTGTCCCCTCGCAGTGTGCGCTCATAAACCGTCCAAATAGAGACCGGAAACAAAGGGTCCCGTCGTGCCAGCGAACCGTCGTTGTGAACTCGAAGACGACCAATGTACGTGTCTTCGAAGTAGTCCAGGACTGGTTGCAACTCATCTGGCAATTCGTTCCGGAGCTCTCTGAGTGCGTCCTCGAGCCTTCCCGGAGGAACGAATGCGAGTGCGGAGATCATTTTGGCCTCCAGTTCTGTCACGAATCGTGAGAACATAGGTAGCGTCCACGTCGGTTTAATAAATGAGAGTCTCTCCGGTCTCCGTCGCCCTCGCAGGGCTTTCCCCCTCTCCCCGTCGGCGGATCTCCAACGGAGATCGACGTGCGCGGAGACACACACGAAGTTGCCTTCAGCGGACTAACACGTCCGGAAGCCCCTGCGAGACACGGCATTCCGGGAGAGTTCTCCAGCGGAGTATCAGTTTGTCTTTAGTGTCGTCAACCCACGCAAACCCTAGCGGTTTGTAACAAGTTCGAATTCCGACTCGTTGCGATACCGTTTGCTCAGCCCGTTAGCCGCAATTTGTTTTTTCATGTTTTGTACAAGGGGGAAAAAACGGCCTTGGAGCTGAGCGTTGGGGAAATGGGAACTGAAGGCATTCATCAGGGCCTCCTCATAATCCATCGATATGCTTGTTGGATTGAATGTAGGCCACTCGAGCGAGAGCAGGTCGATCATCTGGAATCGAACATCGGAAGCCGGGTGATACTCGGAATAATGAGTAGAAGGTCAAGGGACATTCTAAGCTGCATCATTCGATAAGGACATAATGTCTGCATTCGAGAACGTACCTTCCAATACGTTTCTTCAGATTTATAGGGAAGGAGAGCGTAACAAATTGGAGTTCCCTTGTGCTGAGAACGCCAGAACTCTGTCGATAGATCTTTACTCATCTGAGCAAAAACGTATAGATGGCCATCGTGGGCTAACTTCTGTTTTCCGCGTTGACTTTCAACGGTGGCTTCCATTTTTGTCGCATTGCCGGCTCGTTGCACAAACACTTCGGATCCACGCCATGCGGAGGGATCGGCTGGAAGTCTCTCGAATTCGACGCTCGCGTTAAATTCAGGTGGCGCGTGCAATACAAATAAGACGGAGTACAGGGTGGTCATTTTTAGTCAAGACTTTTTTCTCGTTGCTCCACGAACATGTTCTATGACTCCGGCGCTCTATTTCTGCGTTGACCGCTGGAAGGGTGGAATAGGTGACTGGCCTTGCCTTCCGGAAAACTGGGGTGTGGTTTGGTTTCAATTTGACAGGGGCTTGGTATTTCGTGCATCTGCCCAAACCATCCGCCAAACCTCTGGAAACTTTTGCTCGAGTTCAATAGCGAATTTTTCTTGTTCGGTTTTCGATCCTGCCGCGTGGGAGATTCTTTTCGGTGAAGCATTCGGATTTTGTTCGCCATCTAGAAGTTTTTCGTAGAAGCATTTGTCTCGTTTGATCCAGTCGAGTCCCAGGAGAGAACATTATTTTGAAACATAACATTTTCCCTCGAACTCGGTGCCATTCAGCTCCACGATGCAATCAAAACTTCCCAGTATGTGTAGAGAAGAGCCATCCGCTTGAGTCAGATCCACGTCTGACTTCCGCAGTTGAGGGGCGCCTAGCTGTCTCCAAGTCTCCTCTGCTAGCAGCGTCACGTCCGCTCCGGTGTCGAGAACGAGGGTGACATCCGATCCGTTTATTCTCACCGATTCCAAGATTCTGCTGTTCTCGAGTAGTGAAATTTTGAGGTGACGAATGTCCGCTCTCTGTTTCGGAGCTCTGCATACGGACGCTTTGAGACCTATTTTGGAACACTTGTTACATTTCGTTTTCGCGAATGGGCAGTCTCGTTTCCAGTGTTTTTCGCCTCAGCGAGAACGAGGAGATAGAGGGGGTTTACCGCGCTGGCGATCCAATTTCATTGAGCTCTTGTGGACGCGGCTCTTCGTTGGAATCTGATCGGAGCTGCTCGTCGCGTCGCGCTTGAGCTGAGTGTAATTGATGAGCTCCGTAGCTAGGCTCTCCAATGTGGTGGATTCCTCATTCCTCGTCTGGTTTGCGTAGAGCTCGAGTACGGAGTTCGAGATCTTCGCGCGCTTAAAGAGTTGACGAGTACCAGGCACTTCAGATTCTCGGGGGAGAGTTTTTCGAGTTCTGCTGCTTCGCCCCTTGAATTTATGATCCCGACTAGATCAGTGAGGTCTTTTCCAACCCCTTTTGTTTGGAGGAACTTGGAACGACGCCTGAATAGCGATGCCGGTTGGCTGAAGAGAGTCTTCAGAGTCTCGATGATATTATCAAGAGACTCGTCTTCTATTCTATTTGGGAGGAGATAGGCGATGAATCGATCGTATTCCTTGACGTTCAACTTAGAGACTATGAAGTTCTTCTTCATTGTCTCTGCGAGAGTCGCTCCGTCCGTGTCTATAACCGGCTTGTAGCGTTTGACCCATTTTTCGAATGTTAGATCGGCTTCCGGGTCATAGTTGAATTTGGGGATGCGATTATTCAAGGAGTCTGTGATCTTCTGCGCATCTGTCGACTGGGAACTTATCAGATCTTTGATTAGGGCCTTCTGAGAGTCCGCTGTCTGAAGTAGAGCAGCCTTGACGGCTTCGTGGATCACCTCCGCCAAATCGTTGAATTGGATCGCCATTTCTCTTATCTTCGTGAGTTTCGATGCTTCTTGGAGACTTTGGCACGTGAAGTCGTTTCACAAGAAGTTATCCTCGTCGCCACTGTTGAAATTGTTGCGGATTCACCGGGTTTTCCCCAGACCTCAGACTATGAGTATAGAGAAGGAGAACACTCGTCTTACGTCGCCAACGGCTAACTACGGAATGAATTTATTATTGACCAGTGGGAGAGTCTGCACTCCACATTCATGAAAGGGGTCATTGCTGGCGCTGAACGCTTTCCGCATACCGCTACAAGATATCAACTTAAGAGTCCGGAGAACACAATGAATTCACTGAGATCACGGCTGTGGCAGTTGCGTATCACAGATTGCAGCGATCCCGAATTCGACAGCGAAACAATGCACAGAGGACTCGCGCGGCTTTTCCCTTTTCAAAATTGTCGGGAACCTCGACCGCTAGTGAAAAGGCTAAGACTATAACTTCGTCGTTGGACTGTGGTCAGCCAACGACTTATATACTTTATTGATCATCGCGTGTCGGCCGATGATTGGACGACAGAGTCCGAGTCTGAACCCAACATCTCTCCCCCATCAAGACCCGAAGCCAAACAGGGACCGGAAGCTCTGGCCTTTCTTGCAGCTTCGAGGGGGCTGTATGCGACTCGGAACGACGGGCGTCCCGACCCTATCCAATGCTTCGTCAGTTACAGTCGGCGGGTGCGATTCACTGGATTCACCTGGAACAACTTCGGAAAAGGGCAGAGAACAATTTTCGAATGACTGCGGGCAATCTTCAAATGTTGAAGATTCCTCGACTCCGGAGACCACGTCAGCCTCCACAGGATCGGAGAGTGGCTGAAGCTCGTAATCTCCCGAGTCGTCAACGTCCGTCTGCGGAAGATCGGAAGAATGTAGGGAGACTGTAGCCGAATAACGCTTCCAGACTTGATTTTTATGGCGAAGCAGAACTCCGGCGACCGTATTGACCCGAAGCATTGACTTGCCTATTAATTTCACAATAGTAGCCAGCACTCGCTCCCCATTTGGTAACTGAACCGTCACTTCCTCCCCCACGGAGAAAGGACGAGGGCGAACTCCATATCTGAGGTCGTATTGTCGCTTGAATCCTTTTTGATACGGAGTGAGATCCTTATGCCCGACCTTTGGCTTATAGAGATCGAACGGCGTCTTGACCTCTCGACCGAAAAACTTTCTGTTCGGCGACTCATTCCCGATGGATGTGTTAGGCGTGTAGTTATAGGCTCGGACGATGGAATCGAGATCTTTCAGATCGACCCCAAGAGAGGACTTGATTGTGCGCACCATCCGCTCGGCCAAACCATTACTCTGCGGCACGTACGGTGCGCAGCGCAGGTGCACGATACCTAAATTCGAGCAGAATTCGGCGAATTCGTGCGAAACGAACTGCGGTCCATTGTCTGAGACGATGGTGTCCGGTGGACCGAAATGCTTGAAAAGCTGATTGAAGTAGGCGATGACGGAGGCAGACGTTGTAGATTTTAGCCATTGAGCGTCTTTTTTTTCGTGCTATCACCAGTGCTATTCTCCGCTCTTGTTCGCTGGTTTTCGATATCTTCGGATTACGAGAATCGAGCCAACCATGGCAGATCTCCATCTTTTTCGTGATACACGCGATTTCCGGGAGTCTTGTCTCGCAAAGACCGACTTCATGTGTAGGGAACGTAGGAACATGCCGTGAACGTAGCGAAGCGAGTTGACGTGCATGTGTTGGGAGAAGTCAGTACTTGAACGGCCAGCGTCCGAGGAGGACGCGTGTGCCCGAGAATAAATCAGTACCCGAGCATAGAGAACGTATTCGAGTAGTAATCCACAGGGAAAACCCCTACATTTAGCAGCGGTGGGATTGACTCGAGTTCTCTGTGAAGAAATCTAAGTGAAGTGACGTGGAGTGTCGAGAAGGAACTGATTTCGATCCAGAATGCAGAGTGACGAGAAACAGCCGCCAGGAGGATTCGGCGACAACGAGTCCATGACTCAAATGGCGAAGGCGATGATGAGATGCATTATGAAGGAGATGATGAAGGAACTCTGGACGCCGTATCAGCTGGAGCCGGGGGTGAAGTCAGGTCGGTGGAGCGAGTCTCGTTCTCCTCGAGAACCGTGGATAGGTTTGCGGGAGCAAGTGAGATCACTTCGCTGTTCGACAACATGATGGCCACAGGTATGACCGCATACCTAACCTCGATAAGCGCATTGATGTACGCTACGACATACATCTCCTTCTCGAAACAAGGCAATCTGTCACCAGCCAAAGCGGCATGTCTTACGAACCAGCTCACAATGGAGTTCGGACATGCAACGGACGCACGCAGTCCAACGTTCGACGCAACTTCGAACTAGCAGGTCATCTGGTAACCAGAGACAATGCTGCTGCGGTTTTCCGTATGTGGAGGACAGACATTCCGATGCGAATTTCGCTTCGACTGCATCTCGTACTCAGCCAAGCGGCGAACAATGGGCTAGCAGCCTTGACGGTGATTAAGGAGTCTGTCACAAATTTCCCTACGTTCAGTTAGGGAACGATTGCAGCCATAATGCCGCGAGATGTGGCGAAAGCAAAATCCCCCATGAAGATTATTGGCGACAATGCATGCTACGCTTCCGGTCCAATGGGCGAATGTTCGAGCACGAAGTATAAATCGCTAACGTACGTAGCCAAAGAGCTGCTGATAAAGTACGGAGGTCCTACATACGAGGGACTGCGTAATTACGCAGGATTCACACGTACGCCGATTCAGAAAGCTCGGATCGATGAACTGATCCGTGAATATGGTGAGACCATCGCTGCAGCAGTCGATGATGGCACTGGGTGCAACGCGGCTACTGAGCTGCTCTTTGCGGCAGATTACTTCTTGCGTGAGCAAGTCGATGAAGCACAGCCCTTCGAGGCTGCAGCCGTAGAGCAGCCAGCTCAGGATGCAACCGTTGTAGAGGCAGTCGCTGAACCTCAGCAACCTGATGAGGATGAAAATCCTGACGTTAACGAATAACTTACGTCCTTTTTGATCTTTTTGTGCGCTGCTTACAGGCGATTAAGTGTATGAAGAAATACATTTTCGTGAGGAATTAATCCTCTTTTTGCCGTTGCGCTTCTTACACGCGCTGTGGCGCACTGTCCTAGACCACCACTAAATGAAGACGCTGAAGTAATCAGGAAGAGAAGTCCGGAAGTGGGCGCACTATGCGTATAATGTCCGTCGAGCAAACTAGCGGGTCTGATCCCAGGCCTAGCCGCTAACTTCACTACACTGGGGATTTGAGCCCCTTGGGTTGAATGACTCTGAGATTAGGATGTAGGCGACCTGTGGATCGCCGCTCTCGATCTCTGACAGATTGTGTGTATGTGTGTGTGCGTGTTGACGGCTCCATGTTTCCGCCGGCCGGTTGCTCGACTGTTAACGGTGGCGCCGTGAGCGGGAGAAACCGGTATGATCGATCCGCGCTGCGCCGAGTGTGTGTTTGCTATACGAGTGCGCCCGACTTCCTAGGGGTTTATTCTTATCTCTCCTGGAGATATAATTGAGATTGATAATGATTCTTATATACACTGATCAATAGGATATGAATAAATATGGATCCTTGATCCGAAGTTCCCCAATAAGTCTCTCTGGTCTCTCTGAGGAAATAGTTGAATGGATTATGGGAAACTAGAATCTGTCGGGAAGGATAGTGTGTTGTGAGTGTAGTGCATGCACAATGGACCTAGTCCGTTCGTCACACTCCCCCCCCCCCGGAATTTCCGGAACCCGGTGTTGGGAATTCTGCTAGAAAGGCATCGCCACGCGCCGCTGATTCGAATTTGAATTTTCCCTCTATGGAGAGGGGAGGGATCGACTAACGGGAAGCGCGCGGCAGAATCGGTCTTTTCGTCTCGACATCGAGAGAAGTAAGACGCGAACTCTGCGCAATTGTGATTCGTCCAATTACAAGATATGTTCAAGGAACAAAGCATGCAACAGCCAATGGGAAACCGCCTCGACTATCGGTGGTCCCCCAGGGGGATGTTCACGGAGGAGGTGAGGCGAATTGATTTGACCTAAATTCCGAAGGTTTGATGATTTGTGAGGCTAGAGGGCTGCTGTTTCTCCTTGAGTGGTGAAAGATTTCTTTTCTTTTCAGCTGATGTATGAGTACCTCATGTTGAATCACTATCCTCCCTGGGAGGTCGACACAATTTCGGCCCTCATCTGGGGGTCCTTGACCGCCGCCGAGCGCCGGCCCTATCAAGCCGCCTCGAAGCGTGCTCAGCGAGGGGGTGCGCGGGCGGCGCCGGGTCAGCTTGGGCTGACTCGGCGCCTCAAATTCTGCGTGCCCCCGAGCTGGCACGCGGAGAGGTTTGTGTGTACCCTACGAGCGCAGTTGGCCCTCGGCCGCCCAGTCACCCTCCAAGAGGGGGAGCAAGCCACGATAATTTGGCTGGGCGCGCGTTTCTTCCCCCCTCGGGGCTTCGACTACGCGACAGTCGACATGTGCCCAGGGCACGACCACCAGGACGCGCCCCCAGGGGGCCGCGAATTTTACTCCCAGTTGTCGATGTACCTCAGGGAGTGCCATCGTGCGGTACCATCGCTGTTAATAAATGACCGGTAGCCGAAAAATGGCGTTTCGAGATGCTGTGGTGTCTTCTTTTGAGGTGTTTCCAGGCTTCTAATGGAAAGAGTTTCCTGATTGGGCGGTTGAGGGTCTGACCCTTTGCCGTTTTGATGGAACATGATCTAGCGTTTTCTGGCTTGATGTTTTCGGGGAATGAGATCACTCTGCACAGCGGCCAGAGTGCTCTGTTGAAACTTTCTCCCTGGAGTAGGCATACGTCTCCGATTTTCAGAGGCAAGCCGAGATTGGTTTCTGTTTGTGGGCTTTCTTGAGGTATTGAAGGTATTCCTCGTGGTATCGTTTCCAGAAGGAGCTTAGGAGTCGTTGTTGATACTTCCATCTCCTCGAGAAAACGACCTTGTCGGAGTCTGTTGGACTCTTGG